GCGCGCGGGCCACCCTGCGCGGCCGGGGCTCGGCCCTGCGCGGGGCGCGGAGGGAGCGCGTCGGGAGCCCGTCGGGAGCGGGGGCCCGCGCGCGGGGCTGCTGCGGCGTTCGCGCTCGTAAGGCATTCGAACGAAGGGGCGGCCGTGAGCGTGTGCGGGGGCCGTTTGGGTTGTGTGTGCTATTTTATTTTCTTGTTTCCTAAGCGCAGGAAACCTTTCACGTTAGCCTGGACTCAGTTTCAAGGCAGCCTAAAATAGTAGCTGACGTGCTGCTTATTTAGAAAGTAAAGAAATGAGCAATCCCCTTTGGAGATGGGAGCAATTTATTTTAATTCACCAGCAAGAGATTATGTTTGTTCCATACGGTGGAAGCGCCTGTGGGTTATCGTCCGCCTGCCCACACCACCGCCAATCGGAGAGAAATCTCCACGTTGAGCTTTATTAAAATCCTGAGTAACACCACAGTACAGTAAACGTTCGCACCGTGTGTCCCGCAGGGAAATATTCAAGTACTCATTTCTGGGATTAGTCATTCATCTCTCTAACCTGATTGCTTTCAAAGCAAAAAAAAAAGCAGCAAACCAGCCTTCAAAAGTGTTAACAGGTTTTTGGTGGAGGTGTTTTGTGTGTGTGTGTGTGTGTGTGTGTCCAAATTTACCTAAATAAAAGCCTGAGCTCTGATCTTACATAAGTGATTACTTGTTCCAGTAAGGGTACTGTTGGCAGGCAAATTCTCCTCGTTTTACAGTTTAACCGTTCTCAGCTCTTAACATTTCAGCCATTTTTCAAAAGCGGTGATCAGTCGGCCACAGGGGAAGGACCTAAACTTGAAATTGACTTTTGTGGGCAAACTTGGCTTGTCTACCACCTAACAAGCCATGTTGAGTAAAATAAGAAGCTTAAATTTGATTAGTTGTGTGTCTGCCTGAAACCATTTAGTAGTAGAGCATTTTAGTTCTTCGTGGTTTTTACAAAACTCATTAAAAGCTGGACAACAAAAGAATTCTATTCTGTAGCTAGTAATTACGGCTCTTTATGTGGGAGTGGTAGGCTGCCTTTTCTCCGGGTATTTGTACACAGATACCGGGAAAAGCGGGCGAAGCTTTTCCATTGCCTTCCACGAGTCCATTCTCTCTCTGCCCATCTCTGAGAACCTGAAAGGCAGAATAAAGTCAGCAAGCGGCCTGCAGACCGAAGGAAGAAAAAGAGCTGACCCGTCCCGATCCGGATAGGTGATTGGCAACACCCAAGATGTCTATCATTTTAGCCTTCTGTTTGAAGCTTGTTTATTTATTTAATCAACAAGTGGCAGGACCCATTTCTCCCAGATGTGTGCCAACCTGGGAGCTCTAAGCTAAGGAGCATCTTGCATGGCAGAGGGTAGCATCTGGCCTAGTGACAGTTGTGTGCTCTCTGCGCCATCACAGTGTGGCAGGGAAGGGTTGATTTCGGTCCTTCCCCGCACAGCGCGGGCACTGAGGGTTGCCGACCATGCTCAACTGGGATTTGATCTCCGCCTTGCCTCGCAGTGGCCCCCGGTGGAAGCGTTGTGATCCTGGGCAGGTTACTCCACGTTCCTGGGCCTCAGTTAGTTGCCTCACTGTGAGAGGGTGTGACATCTACCCTCAGGGATGCAGGAAGATTCAGTGAGGTTGGGAGTGTGTGGTCCCCAGCACGGCGCTGGCTAGCTCTAGTGACTAGGCATTCTGGCAGGGGCAGCCATCAGTAGGAGGGAATATTGATTCTCTAGTGAATGTGGGGGACATAATCTGCCACGTGGAGATTCTGAACGAACGTGGCCACTTTTGATCCAGGACAGTCCCTCCTCTGTCCTCCCATGAGACTGTTATTGGCAGTGCTTACCATCCTCTGTTGTCTGGCCTGAGCTTCACCTGCACTCTGAGGGTTTTAACAGCCATTTCTGATGCCTCTTTCCTCCCCAGCTGCCTTTTAGCCAAGGGTGTGTGTGTGTGTGTGTGTGTGTGTGTGTGTGTGTGTGTGTGTGTGTGGTGGGGTTGTTCGAAGGTCTGGTTCAGCCATAATGTTGGTCATAAAGAGAAAACAGGAAAGCACAGACAGAAATAGCTCCGTGAGAATGTGGTATTTGCCACCTCCAGTAAGTTCTGTCAGTTGGACAGTGTTTTAATTCCTAAAAGTTCTTGGTTATAACAAACAGGTTGGGAGCCCAGCCTGGGCCTAGAGGGGTTCCCCCTGGGGCTTTGCCACATCTAGGCCTGGAGTTCTGTAGCCCTGAAGCTGGGAGGGTGCGGGGCCTCAAGGTGAACGTTACTCTCATCTGTGCTAACCCAGGTTATAGGAAAGTGAGTTTTAGTCACTGTTTTTAAAACAATTGTAAAAATCTAGTGCTACTGTACAAATACCTTTTTTCCTTATTAATATATAACCTACCTAGCCAAACAATTACATTTTAAGTCACCAGATAATTTTTCAGTCTGTTACAGCATTGGCCCAATTGCAAGCCACATGTGATTTTAAATTTTCTAATAGCCACGTTAAAAATAGTAAAACAGATGAAAATTAGTTTGAGTGTACTTCACATTAACCTAATATGTTCAAAACACCATGTAAACATGCAGTAAATGTAAAAATTATTGAGGTATTTTCTCTACTAAATCTTTGAAATCTAGTGTGTATTTGTGGGTCCACACTAAACTAGCCACTTAGCAAGCTTTCGTTGGGCACATGTGACTGGCTGCCACACTGATCGGCGCGGGTCTCAAGACAGATCCCTACTTGGAATCACGTCTCTTGAAGAAATACACAGCGAAGCAACACACAGAGCCAGAAGTATTTTGAGCTGTATACTCAGAGCAGGGGGATCTGGAGCCAGGCAGCAGGGTTTGGTCTTAAGTTCTCCCTTTGATTCCCTCCCTGGGCCTGAGCCTCTCCCAGCTTGGAGAGGAGGGGGTGGGGGTGCCTCTGTGACTCTGGAACCCAGCTGGGGGGAGGCCCTGAGCCACCAGCCAGAAAGTGACTTTATCTGTGCGTCTCACATCTAAATGGCTGGCGATTCCGTGGGGAATCGGCATTATTATTTAATTACCTAAATTGCATACCCCTTTGTTCTACTGAGACATGCCTTCCTCCAGAGACCTTTGGGAGGAAAGCCTTTGAAATAAGAATTCCCTGGCATCCAGCTTTGAATTACCTGTTAGCTCTAAACCTCCCTGTTGATGCCAGCAATGATGGCTTCTCGAAAATGTGCTTAATTTGTTGCTTCTTTGACTCTTCCTTCCTTTTTCTTTTTTAAGATGAATGATTTTGGGATCAAGAACATGGACCAGGTGGCCCCCGTGGCTAACGGTTACCGGGGGACCCTCAAGGTGAGTGAGTGAGTCTTAAAAGTTTTTTTTTTAAAAAATGGAAAACTTGATCTGTAGGAGAATAAACAATGGGTTGGGTCCCAGAAGACTGGTTCTAGCTCTGGCTCTTTAATTTGCTGGCTGTTTGACTCTAGACCGTTTGCTTTCTTGCTCTGGGCCTCAGTTTTCTAGTCTGTGGAATGGATATGTTGATGAGTGTTGTTCTACTTGTGCTCCAAGATATGTAACTATTTCATTCATACATGGTGAGGCCTTTGTAGTTTGTTTCTGAGGCTCCTTCCAAGGTGAAAATCCTGAGTTTCTCTATAAAACGGCTGGTGAGGCTATCCGTACTGCCTTTCCTGTCCACCCAAGGGTTTCCTCGAGGGAAGGGAAGGCTGTTTAAGAACTGAAATGAAAGGGCTTGGAAGAGGCAGACAGACCCAGCAGCTGCAGCTGCCATGAGAAGGGCCGGTGCCTGCGGTGTGGTGGTGTTAGTAGCCTGCTCTTAACTGTGCAGAGAACAAGCAGGCCTGTTTATATAAACCACAGAAACAATTTAAAGATGAAAGAGCCTTCTCTGCTGCGTACACAGATTTTATGTAGCTTCTATCATAATTCCTTTCGGGAACATTCTTTAGTTTAGCACAAACTGGTAATTTCCCATTTGCCTTCTCTACTTGTGACGGCAGGATTTGATTGTTTTCAGTGTTATGTCGTGAACATGTTTCAGAAACAGTGATTTAAGATTGGCCTCCTGGCCGGGCGTGGTGGCTCGCGCCTGTAATCCTAGCACTCTGGGAGGCCAAGGCCGGTGGGTCCTTTGAGCTCAGGAGTTAGAGACCAGCCTGAGCAAAAGTGAGACACCAGCTCTACTAAAAAAAAAAAAAAAAAAAGAAAGAAATTAGCTGGACAACTAAAATATATATATATAAAAATTTAGCTGTGCATGCCTCTAGTCCCAGTTAACTCGGGAGGCTGAGGCAGGAGGATTGCTGGAGCCTAGGAGTTTGAGGTTGCTGTTAGCTAGGCTGACACCACTCTAGCCTGGGCAACAGAGTGAGACTTTTTCCAAAAAATAAGTAAATAAATAAATAAGGCCTCCTTAGCATCTTGCACAGTGATGTTCTATGTCTAGTCTGTTATATTTTCCTTTGTAAGTCATTATTGAGGTTCTTTGTCTGGTGTAGCCCAAAGAGCCAAAACTTGGCACACACCTTTCTGGAGTTTTATAAAGGTCACCAAACTTCAGGCTAGCGAGTTATCTTGTTTGATTTGGCTAGACATTTTAAGTGTGGCAGAAACAGTGTAAGAACTTATGTTATTAAGTTGAAACCACACCCTTAAGAAAAAATCCTTGTATGAATTAAATTAAATCAGTGCTACCTATGTGATTTCTGGATATGGAGAAGAAATAGTTGTTGCTCAAATTGATGTGTTGAAATAAATACAAAGCACGGATTTGCATTGTTCTTTGGCTTCCTGGTTTTTTTTTTTTTTAAAAATTACAGTCAGGAAAGACATTTCTTAGTTGCATGGGCAATGCTGGTGGGAATTTTTAAAGTTTATGAGATGTTTTGCCAAAATTAGCTCTGCAATAAAGTAGTTTATGAATTCAGATGAGTATTCTGCGCTTGATTGCTTGGTGGGTCCCCATCCTGGATCCCAGGCAGCGGTCACCATTGTCTTGGCTTTCTTGGGCTGGGCTCCAACTGTAGTGCGTCAGTCATTGTTCTGCAATTCTAAAAAAGAAAGCACACAAACCAAATTTTATTTGTAGATGTGTTACACATTTTTTTATTGATGAGTCAACAGATGGGTCACTGTATTACACATAGCATGGGATTTCCAGCTTATGTTGGAAAAATAAAACCTTTCTCCACTTTGTCCTCAGCCAGCTAAGCAATGATGAATCAAGATGTTCTTTGTCAATTAAATGAGCCTCACATTAAAGGCTAATTCTCTCATAAATGTTATGTGAGAAATCGACATAGTGTAAGGTTTTTGTCCTTGTATATAAGTTTATCACCTTTCCCCTCGATTGTAGATAGTTAAACTTTAAAGCTATTTGCTTTGCAAATCTTTCCCCTTAGTGGGTGATTTGGGGGCTTTCTTTTAATACACTTTTTATAAAATGAAACTTGTTAAAGCATTTTTTCATGTATTACTATTTTCTGAGCCCCTGGAATTGAGGAGGAAAAGCATCTCTAGTTTCAGTCAAGTTGTTTCATGATAAACATTTCAAAATAAATGCTTCCGAAGATAGAGTGGTTTATTTCATCATTTGATTTTCAGTTTTTATTCCGTTATTTGCCTTTTGCTTTAACTGCATTGCACTCAAACTGCTGCCTTGTCAGGGTCATTTTTCTTACACACAGCCTGATTGAATTTTTCTGCCGTGTGACAGGAGGGCCAGGCATTTGAAGAAGGGGTCTCATCTGAGGTTCCTTCTAGCACTGTTCCAAGATTCTGTTATTTTTAGATTTGTTTATTTAATTTATTGATTTAAGTGGATTAGGCCACTAAAATAAATGCCCAGTCATTCTGACTGTGAGGTCACTTAAATAATCCAGAGTAAAATGGAATAATTTTGGTCACTTTGACCATTTTAGAAGTCTGATTTGAGTAGTCAGTGGTTGATTCCATGCGTGGCTTCATAATCGCCAGTTTAGTCAGGATATGTCAGTAAGATTACCCATGGATCACTTTAAATATGGATAATTAAATAAGTTCTAATATTATATATTTGTTTTCTTTTGCATCTGTTTTTGCAGCGCCAGCCAGCCTTTGACACTTTCGATGGGTCCCTTTTTGCTGTTTTCCCCTCACTAAATGAAGAGCAAACACTCCAAGAAGTGCCAACAGGCTTGGATTCCATTTCTCATGGTAATTTGCTCCTTAGACTTGACAAGTGGTGCGTGATTTCCCTAAGTAGTTTAGTTAATAAAGAAATGACAGTTCCCAGGGACGAATGTTGATGTCTTGAATCTGTGGCATGAAGAGTCAGATGGATGTCCCGGACCTGGGAGGAGGCAGTTTTCTATTTGTGTGGCAATGGTGATTCTGTCTCCGTGCCAGCCGCACCCCAGTGAGCTGCTGTTAGTAAACTGCGGGGAACCCCTGAGATTTCCATTGTGGATGTTTTTCAACATTAGCAAACATCTCCCAGCTCTACTCTTGCAAAGCCTACAGAAAACAATGGACATTCAAATGCACCCCAGCTTTTAATTCTGGGTTCACATCATTAGTTACATCCTCTCCCCTGCCCAGAGTTTTGAGATAACACATTACTCTTTGTAATCCTTTTACCCTGTCTGTATTTATTTCTGTAATTCTTAATGTCATCGTTTATTCTTTTTAGAGGAATAGCACATCAGATAATGTCTCTGCAATTACTGTGGTAGAGTTAAATTAGTTGGAAACATTCCAGAGATTACTTTGCCATATGAAGTAGGTGCTAGAAAATACAGCCCGGAAAATTAATTAAAACACATGTGCTTGCATAAGCACAACATCCTGTGACAGTCATTTGTCATTCTTGAAATGGCTGAGGGTATCCAGAGATTGTTTTTCAATAAGAAGTGAAGGTGTGCTACTTTACAGTGCTGTAGGGTTCTTGTTGCGCTCAGGTCTCTGGCTGCTGCTCGGTTTCATGGAAGTAACTTCCAGTTGATACGTTTACAGTGCCTTTAAGCCTCTTGACTAAAAACCGTGCAATTCCTTTCATTGTCTAAACAAGTCTGTTTAAAACAGACTTAGAAATTTTACCTATGTGTAACTGCTTTATGAAGCCTTGCAAAATAGGGTTGTATTTAAATTTTTTTCATAAGCATAATTCTGAGATGTATTATTTCTCAATTTTAGTCAAAAAAAAGTTTTTCGTATCTGTACATTTTATATAATTATATATAAATACAGCATCTATTTTCCTTTAAGGATTCGTGATGTGGTTTGGGATCAAAATTGTTCTCTCCCCAATACTAGGGTTTCTCTCCCCGGTCCCTACCTGATGTTGTCAGCCTGAAGTCCTAATGCCCCCATGGGTTTCTTTGCAGACTCGAGCAGCTGTGAATTGCCTTTGTTAACTCCGTGCAGCAAGGCTGTGATGAGTCAGGCCTTAAAAGCTACCTTCAGTGGCTTCAAAAAGGAGCAGCGTCGCCTTGGCATTCCAAAGAGTAAGTACTGCTCCCGTGAGCCTGCGGAGGACTAGAAAAATGAATGTGACTGCGGTTTTCTGTTCCTGACTGATCTTTTAGGCTTTTGCTTGGAGTATCTTAGAAAGAGTAGCATCATCATTGTAGTGAACCTGAGCTGGTTTCTCTTTCAACCCAATCAGCTGACTTCATGACTTCATGTAGCGCTTGCTTGTGCCTATGTTAGAAGGAGTTGTTAGTGTCTTAGGGTTTGGCTGGGTCGTATCATGATGGTGTCTCGCTCATTTCATTGGTTCTGCTTTGCCTGGACTTAGTGAATAAATTAGGGGTGACTCTGGTCCCACTGCCTTCCCATGGTTTTCACTGTGTGCTCCGTCTTTCCTTGCCTCCTGCCAAGACCCTTGGCTGTGGAACGAGCAACAAGTATGCCAGTGGCTTCTCTGGGCAACCAACGAGTTCAGCCTGGTGAACGTCAATCTGCAGAGGTTCGGCATGAATGGCCAGGTGTTGTGTAACCTTGGCAAGGAGCGCTTTCTGGAGCTGGCACCTGACTTCGTGGGCGACATTCTCTGGGAACATCTGGAGCAGATGATCAAAGGTACCAGCTGTGCATGACTTGCGCCCTTGTCCAGGGTGAGCCGTGGCAGGGAAAAGTAATGATTGTTCTTCATCCTCACGGTTGGCATTTCAAATGGTACAGAGTAAATTGCCTCAAAATGCCACTCCAGTGAGTCAGATACGTGGCGGTGTTTATAGATTTGTATTCTACTTAAGTCTGTGTGTGTGTGTATGTGTGTGTTTAGCATCAAGTAGAGCCGCAAGGCAGTAGCCTTAGTCACTAAATCGTTCGCGATTGCCAGACTCTGTCGTGGCAGTCCGTGTTGACTCAGATGTGTAGGCCAGCAGGAATTCCTATGTTTTGTGAGTTCACCTTGTAGAAACAAAAGAAATAAATCAGCTTTAATGAAAGGGAGCCTTTACTCCTTTACAGATAAAACTGTGAATTTTATGGTAAATTTTCCTAAGCCCAAAAGGAATCCAATAGAGATTTTGGGGGGGAATTTGTGTTTTTAAACAAGCAAGTAATTAATTGATGTATATTTACACACTGACATACACAGAAACTGGCTGTTGATCAATAAAAATTTCACCAAAGGTAGAGAAAGACTTGATTCAGAACTTAAAAGAGCCATGAGACCAATGTTTAAAAATACAATTGAGTTAAACAAGAGACAAAGTTTCAGTGAGGACCATTTAAGTTAAAAAAAAAAATAAGAAAATTAGCTTATTTGTTGAGTTCAGGGAAATATTCCTTACTTAATTGATTTTAAGCACACGTAGTCTCAACGTCTCCTGTAGACCCAGAATCTCAGAAAGACCTGGAGTTCAACTACCAGCATTTTAGTGATGGCTTCTGAGGGCCAGGGAAACTTCTTTTTAAAGACCCCCAAATTTTCCCTGGACTTGGACAAGTCACATCTAACAAATTTCTGGTGAGTCTGTTTTTTGCCACATTTGGGCCTGTTTTGCCATTACCTGGGCTCGTGAGTCTGTGTGTGCTTGGATTTGTGGGTCTACGCGCGGTTTGTGCTGTGTTCACGGTAGGCTCGGGGGACAGCCTTTTCCACTCTCAGAGTCCGTGGGCGCGTGTGTCCACCCTGGCAGACTCCCACCGCAGAGAAGCCTTCGCCACACCCTGGGCAAACTGCCAGGGTTGGAAGCAGAGGGCCCTGAACCCTCATGGGGCAGGAACTGTGTCCATTTTATTAATCCCCTGGATTCCCAGTCTCTGACATAGAGACTTCATAAATATTTGACGACTTCTTGAATACATGAATGAATTAAACACACAATGTAGAGCTTCCAAATTTTGTGATAGAAGATTCAACTTTGCCAGTGACATCATTCATTTTGGAAAATTTATTCTGGTTACTAGAAAAAAAATGTGTTGCTGTCTCTAGTTCTTTGGAAAAGACATGCAGTGATGTGGAGCACTAAATGTGTTTAGTCACTCGGAAATAAGCAGATAACAGTAATTCAGAAAGCAAGTGTTTTCTTATAAGTAGTTTTTATGATCTGGCTTTGCTATCTTATGACTCCTGTGTCTTTTTTTTTTTTTTCTTTCAGAAAACCAAGAAAAGACAGAAGACCAATATGAAGAAAATTCACACCTCCACTCGGTTCCTCACTGGATTAACAGTAATACGTTAGGTCAGTCGCGTAGAGTCTGCCCTTAGGAGCTCGGTCTTAAGTTAGACTTAGACTCTCTAAGGGAGGCTCCTCTGGGGCCACCTGGACCCACACTGTCCCACGGAGTGGCCACACGTGGGTGTCAAGCTGCTGAGCAGTTGAAATGTGGCCCGTCCACATTGAGATGTGTAGTAAGAGTATAATATAATGCACACAGGATTTGGAAGTCCTAGTATGAAACAAAGAATGTAAAATACCTCCTTGATAATTCCGAACATTGATCACGTATTGAAATATAATTGTTGTGTTAGATCAAGTAAAATACCGTAAGAAAATTAACTTCACCTGTTTCTTTTTGCTTTTGTAATATGGCCACTAGAAAATTTTAAATCTCCTAAGTGGTTCCTATGATCTTCCCATTGGTCAGTGCCGTTAGCTGTGGTCTAGGCAATTTATAGAGCAAGGAGCACAGATTGGAGTGAGCTGATTACTGTGGTCACCAGATGGTAATCTAGTGAAACCAACAAGAGGTGGCAGGCACAGAAAGTGTGTTGGGAGCCCCTGTAAGTTTGCAGTGAACTGAGGAGTTTGAAGAGCTGTCATGGAATCGGGAGCCTTCTGTTTGCTGGTACTGGGGAGGGCAGGCTGAGGGGTGGTCTGCCAGAGCCAGTGTGGGGTCATCGGAACACTGCGCTTTGGTGGCACTTTCTGCTTCCTCGCTGTCACAAGCTCCACCCTCTAGGCCAGGTGAAGCCTGTCCCTCCACCCTACCTTGAGGCTCATTGCTCAGAAGGTCTTTCTAAATATGGTACAGTGGGAGACCCTCTGCTTGCCTGAGCCGGAGTCAAAGTAAGAGAGCTTCCTTCTGCCTCCAGAAAACGAGTTACTCCCTGATGGGGGAGAAGGAAGAAGATGGGCTTTTCATCAGAACACGGGGTTCCATGGCCCAGTTCTAGCTCCACACAAATCACATACTGTGTGACAGATGGCTTCGTCTCTCTAAACCTCGCAGCTAACGCCCAGTGAGCCCTGTCATTGTGAGGGACACACGAAAGTGCCAGAGCCACAGAAATATGCACACTGAGCCCTGCACCAGCCATCTTGGCAGTGGGCTTATTGGTTAAGCAGATGAGTGGTTTGGGAAGAAGAGGACTTGGTGACAAACTGCCCACGTCCTCACCGAGGCTTTGCAGAGGGCTGGAGTGTGCGTGCAGGGTGGTCGCTCGTGATTGGCTCCGAGGGGTTGATTTGCTCCGAGGGGTTGGTTGTCACGTTAATACTGACTTCAAGGACTGTGCTGTCCGATTGTGTGTTCCAGGTTTTGGCGTGGAGCAGGCGCCGTACGGCGTGCAGACGCAGAACTACCCTAAAGGCAGCCTCCTGGACGGCATGTGTCCCGCGTCGGTGCCCAGCATGCTCAGCTCCGAGCAGGAGTTTCAGGTGTTCCCCAAATCTCGGCTCGACCCCGTCAGCATCAGCTACTGCTCCCTCAGGCAGGACTTCCCGGCCGGCAACTTGAGCTTGCTCGCCAACAGTTCCGGTAAGATAGGAAGCATCTTTCAGCCGTTGGGTTGATTCTGAGAGCTGCTGTCAGACAGCGATGATGAACTTTTTAATCGGCGAGTCCTGTTCTCGGCCTTTGGAGGAGGTCAAGGCACTGGCCTGCCTTCCCAGCGCCTTTCCAACAAGCACACGCCTAGCGTGCTTCTCGCGCCGGTCTGGGCCCTGCACATGTTGAGTGAACAAGGCACGGCCTTGTTCTTGGGGCCAGATTCCTCCACCCAATGAAAGGAGTATTTTTTGGAGACTGTGCAGGAATGTGACAGATTTCCTTTTATGGAGTGGTGACATATATACGGTACACAAGTAAGTCTCAGGCCGTACAACTGGTTGGACGTGTGCATGTATGTCCAGCAGTATAAGAGCCGTCTAGATGGATACGGAGAACTTTCTGGCAGCCCAGAGGCTGCTGCATACCCACCCCAAAAGGAAACCATTCTTACTTTTATCATCATGGATTAGTTTTTGCTGCTCTCGAACGGCATGTAGATGGGATCTGCAGTGTGTTTTCTTTTGGGTTTGTCATTTGATCATCGTTAGGTCTGACATTCATCTGGGGGCACTGCGGGCGGTCAAGCCCAAGACCACCCTGCAGTTAGTGCTCAGCAGCCCTGGCGTGTTTCCGTGCCTGGGGGAGTCACAGCATACGCTTGGTTGTCTTTGCCAGGGAAGCCCAAAGACCACGACTCCTCCGAGAACGGCGCCGACAGCTTTGAGAGCTCGGACTCGCTGCTGCAGTCCTGGAGCAGCCAGTCGTCCTTGCTGGATGTGCAGAGGGTGCCTTCCTTTGAGAGCTTCGAAGACGACTGCAGCCAGTCTCTCTGCCTCAATAAACCGACCATGTCCTTCAAGGATTACATCCAAGAGAGGAGCGACCCAGTGGAGCAAGGCAAACCAGTTATTCCTGCAGCTGTGCTGGCCGGCTTCACGGGTAAGTGTGCCACGCCGGGAGCCTGGCCACCCGGTCTCCCGAGTCCTGTCCCCTGTTTCATGCCTGGCCACAGCACCGTGTCTACCGAGGGTGTTTCTAGGTGAGGCGCGCTGTGTCCACACTCCGCATTTTATATGTGGCTCGCTGGACCCCTGAATTCTAAAAGGGCCAACCTTGCAGGAATTGTCACGTACACAGAGCCCGGTGGAGTGATGAGATGGACAGGCTGCTCCTCCACCTGGGTGTTCTACAGAGGAGGAGGCACAGAGGACACGGCCCAGGGAGTCTTCAGCCCTGACTCACCCACTCCAGGAATGTCAGAGAATGCCATTTGGCGCAGGGAGGGGCTGCAGAGCTGGCCTCTAATAATATGAGCACTGTTTACCTTTTCTTGCTTCTAAAATCCATATACTCTTATTTTTAAGGTTTGGGTGAGAGCTATTCTAGGCAGGGTACAAATATTAAAGCTGTTTTTAGAACCAGATATTTCCAGTGCTTTGGCACAAATACCTAAGACTCATTGTTTTCATTGCTTTCTGTGTCCTTAAATGTGCTTTTTTTTTTATTATTATTTTTTGGCCCCATAATCTGACCATATGGAGCCACTGTGGATTAAGAAAATATAACTACTTAAAAAAATCTGATAGGTTAAAATAAGGATGCTTAGGTATTCATTTTTTTTTTTTTTTGGTCTAAAAAAACGTGTGTTAATGTATTCAAATACACATGAGTGTTTGAAAACTATTATAGTTTTCATACGCAGAAGTTCCAGGCCTGCTTAGGAAACAAACAGCCGTGGCATTGGTGTTTCCATTTTAACAGTAAATGTTCTTTGCCCTTTCTGGGCGCCAGCTCTGCGTGGTTAGCTCGGCGTGTGGTCTGTAGTCCCTGGGACAGCCCGGCATGGGGTGACGTGAACCCATTTTACAGATGGGGACCTGGCTCAGAGATAGACAGCCTTCTGTGGCCACACGGCTCCAGTCCTGGAACGCCTGTGCTCTGCGCTTTGGAGCAAGGCTGCGTAGGTGACAGCCGCTGCGTTTTGAGGGCAGAGCTTTCTGGTGGAAAGAGACTGGGCTCGGGGTCGGAAGATCATCCAGGCTCTTCGCCCCTTCGCAGTGACGGGCGAGTGATCCAGGACCGGGCAGGCACCCGTCCTCCGAGTCGTGTTGTCCTCACTGCGAAAGCAGGGCTGTGACGACGCCTGCCTCCCACGGCGGCCGCTCTAAGTGCCAATCGAGAAGAGGCCCGGGAGAGGCACTTGGCAGGCCCTCGGCCGGGCAGAGGCTGTGAGGCAACGGGTCTTGCCCCATGTGGCTCTTGAGTAAACTGGGCCATTAGGCAATTCACACACAGTCACTTGGCAGGGCCGCGGCAGCACGGATCCCACGATGACGCGCCTCTCTCTTTCCGTGATGACATAGAAGCTCCTTCGGCTGCCCCCATCCCGCCCCACCGGGTGCTGCCAGAAATAAACCGAGAGGCTGTTCACAGGAGGGACGATTAAACAGGGCGGGGAATTTAAATGCCAAGGGTTGGTGGCCCCCAGACTTTCTTCCAGAAAGGACAAACCCAGCAGTGGAGGGAAAGAGTGCCGTGGCCAAACGGCCCTCTTTTCCAGGCGTGGGGGGTGGGGGGAAGAACCCGTGTTTGGCGTGCAGTCCCAGCCCGTGTCGCCGACACCTTAGCTCCACTTTCACGTCAAAACCCCTTCCAGAGAGTGCGGCCTATGTTCTTCAGCCAGCTTGTTTAGTAACTAGGACGCCAAAGCCTTGCTTTTGGATTTTGAGTCTACGGAAAGGTATAATAAAGTGTCTCCCTCTCCCCGCAGGAAGCGGACCTATTCAGCTGTGGCAGTTTCTCCTGGAGTTGCTCTCAGACAAATCCTGCCAGTCGTTCATTAGCTGGACAGGGGACGGCTGGGAGTTCAAGCTTGCTGACCCCGACGAGGTATGGCCGGAGCCCTGGGGGATCTCTGGGCTCCAAAACCTGACTCCTCTCGTTGGGTTCCAAAATTCAGTTCTGTGGGTACAAGAAGGGATTCCTGAATCCAGTGAGAATCTTTTTATATGAGTGTTGGGGAAAGTGGAGGTAGTGGCATTGCTTTGCTGATAAATGTACCCACGTGCATGGACCTCACCAGACGTCCCTGTCTTGGTCTCTTGTCTGATCAAAAAGCCCACGCTACAAACTAAGGTTCTTTCCGACCATCTGAAAGTGCTTTAGGAAGTTTGCCATTGTTGAGGGGACGAGTCTCCTAGTTAGCCCCCAGCCAGCTGCTGACTTCGTGCTCCTTGGCTGAGCTCCGCAGAGCCAGCCGCAGCCCCGGAGGCCCCGGCGGGAGGGGAAGGCTGAGGACAGATGAGATAGCAGCCACTCCAGGACAGCACTAGAGAAGCCCTTGGTCTCTGGCACCGTGGAGTGTAATCTGTCACTTCCCAAGTCCCTTGAGAAACAAGCATTGAGGAATGACTATGTCACACAGCTCAGAATCCCGTTCAGCAGCTGTTAACTATAGTAGTTAGAACCCAGGAGGGTGGGTGGCACTCGCAGTCCCCTTGTCTCGGGGGCCTCCCGGCTCTGAACCCCTGGCTCCCAGGAGGTTTTGCTGAGACAGAGCAGGAGGCAGGGAGCAGGGGCCTCTGTCCCCAGAGTTCTCTCCCGTGTGCAGAGAAACAGCCGAGGGACACAGTGTCCCTGGTGAACCTGTTAAAAGACAGGTTGGACCTCCTGTGGACCTTTTGTGGTTGTCAAGCCCTCTGGGGTGAGCACGCACCAGAGTCGCGTCAGGGGGGAAAGATCGTTCGCTTTTTCTTCATTGACCAAATTGAGCCTAACTCTTCTCCATCCGTGTCGACCCAAGGTGGCCCGCCGGTGGGGAAAGAGGAAAAATAAGCCCAAGATGAACTACGAGAAGCTCAGCCGGGGCTTGCGCTACTATTACGACAAGAACATCATCCATAAGACGTCAGGGAAGCGCTATGTTTACCGCTTCGTGTGCGACCTCCAGAACTTGCTGGGGTTCACGCCCGAGGAACTGCACGCCATCCTGGGCGTCCAGCCCGACACGGAGGACTGAGGTCCCCGGGGCCACCCTGAGCCGGCCCCAGGCCCGTGGACTGTGAGCGGGAAGCTCATCTTGACTGACTGCTCCAAGGACGCAGGGAAGGCGGGTTTGAATATGTCCAGGAGGTCGCCAAGAAGCCACGGCCTCTTTCATCCCAAACCTTGCCTCTCGACGGGGCTGTCTCTGCCGTGGCAGAGTCAGCACAGCTGCTGAGCGTGACGTGCAGGTGCTGCTCACCTTCCTCTTCGGGGAGGGCGGTGGAGGCCGCGGCGCGGGGAGCCATCCGGCTCCAGCCTGGCCGTGGGGCGGGACGGTGCTGGCTGTTGGAGACTTTCAAAGGAGCGAGCTGTCATGGACATGGGCAAATTTTCTTTTGCCTTTTGCAACCAAGAACAGCAAACCCAAAAGCTGCCTCTTTGTTCGAGAGGAGTAGGAGGATGGGAAGGAAACAACCATGCCATTTCAGAATTTAGTTTGTATATATTATTATAATCTTATAATTGTCCTCAGAATCCTTTAACAGTACTATTTAACAAAAATTGTATATTGTAATTTAAAATAATTATATAACTGTATTTGAAGTAAGAATGCAGACATCCAATGTTTTATTTCATTTTTCAGTAGCACATAACGGCATTTTACAAAGATTTAATCTGCCAAGTGCAGACTAAGAAAAGTAAAGTGTGTATTTACATTTAATATACCTGCAGGAATAAGATCGAAGACAGGTAATCCCTGCTTTTTGTGTTTCGTGGATTTTTTGCCTTGGTTATCTGGCAAGGACTTTCCTTGTACATTTGGGAATTTTTACAAGAAACCTAATGTTATTATCGGGGGGTACATCTGGCCTCTCTGCTTTCTTCTTTAATTGTAAAGCAAAAGCTATAAAGCAGTATTTTTCTTGACAAATGGCATATGTTTTCCACTTCTGTGCATGCCTTTAAAGCCAGTTTGTACACAAAGCATATTTTATTTTTTAGTGTAACTGTTTCCCCAGCAACTCACCTCTCCTGACCAACCAGCCATTTCCTTCCTGTGCCCCAAGTTATTCTGTAGGATTAAAATAAGAATACTATTTTTGGAAATATGCGACTCCTTTTCAGAGATCAGGAGGGATTTATGTAGCAGCTATTTTTACTGCAAAAGTAATTCACTGGAGAAAAAAAAAGTAATTTGTAAGAAAGCTTTATTTTTATCTCAGCTCCATGTAAAGTGAAACGTATTATACAGAGCTGAGGACGGGGGTGGGGCAGGGTCTTCATTAAACCTCTTGAGCAAAGCACCATTTGTCCGTCTTTGTTCACCTGTTGTGTCTCAGACTGTCCGGATAGCCCGCTGCCCTTTTCTGCTCTGTGTCACAGCAAGAGCTTTTTTTGTTTTTCCTTATTTTCTTGGACATAGAATACCCAGAGGCACAGAGAGGGTACACAGATGGGAAAGAGTGCATTGGGGTCATTCATTTGGAGAAAGTGTTTTGATGGATATAAGAGACTTTTTCAGTTGAGTCGTGTATTCCTGGCCTTCATACATGATCCAGTCAAGTTGGCTTCAAAGCCAGGTAGGCTTTTCCTACTTACTAGCCGTGTGGCCTTGGACCAGTGGCTGGGCTGAGGTATCTGAAGTTAGTGTCATGTGATGAGACTGAGAAATCGGGTGGCAGGGCCAGCTGGGGAGCACAGCCAGGACTGGGACCACTCGGCCAAAATACCCACAGAAGACAGTTCCCAGTATATTTAAGCACAGGATGTTTTTCTCAAGTGGGACCTATTTATCACTTGGACATCTGTTTATAATATAAACAGACATGTGACCGGGAACATCTTGTAGCCGGAAGAAATCATGGCCATCGTCTCATTTTATGTGAGGTTGAACTGCATGAAATTGCCAGACTGGGTTTTTATGTACAAAGATGGCAGTTTCATGGGGTTCAGTCTAATAGTTACGGGAACCGAAGTCCTTATAAACCTTTGGCATGATAATGAACAGATCTGCAGTATAAAATGTTTGTAACTCCGCCTTTTCTTTCTCGAATAATAAAGTATTTTGTTTATACAAACTCCTTGTAAGATTCCTGGTTTTTCCTCCCCACCCCCGGCATGAGGAGGAGTGGGGGGTATTTTAACAAGATCCCTTGTCTGCCCGAAACTTGACGTCACTGAGAGCCAAATCTCTGTTTCACTGATTTCACACACGGGTTACCTAGAAACCACACCCACGCTGGAAGCGTCCCTCAGCCCTTCCTGAAGGAATTCTCAAAAAGTGCTCCTTTAAGAGAGGATTATAATAGCAAGATGAAGGTGTCTTTGCCAGAGATAACTGAGGAAGAGAGTTTAAGGTACTGTATTAAGCATAAAAAGGACTTGAGGTTTAAGCACTTCTGTGATTAAGGCCACAGCCCTCCAAGTCCCCTCAGTGGAGTTCTGACATTGGTGAGGTCACTTACCAGAGAGGGGCGCGATTATGGTCTTAGGACGCCTGTTCTCAAACTCGTTCTCAGAACTCCTTTTTGCACTTTGCAAAGTTAGTGAGGTCGCCAAAAAGCTTATGTGGGTTGCACCCAGTGGGGGCTGAAGCCAGCTCCTACCGGCTCACGGCACATGGCACATGGCTCTTCCCAACTCCACGTCGGCGATGTGAATTTGAAATGGATCGTGATACCCTGGGAATTAGCAAACGCTACAAGTCAGGGCGTTCATTCCCTGGGGTGGGGGGTGGGGGGTTTGTCAAACATTTACCACTGGTCATGGCTATCAAAGGTTACCATATTAGAAATTAAGACAAGTCTTAGGATGTTAATTCATTTAAAATATACATTAGCATAAACAGCAGTTTTTTCTTATAAGAATTCTCTCTTTTAAAAGTTAGCATGGTATCGTTTCACAGGTTTGCAGATCTCTTCAATGTCTGTTTTAGTAGAAGAGAGTGGGATTCTACCTGTTCTGCATTCAGTCTGTTCTGATATATTTTCATTGTGTGTATATATATGAAGAAACTGGCCTACCTAACACAGATTTATAATTGAAACAAGAAGGGTATTTAACAGCTGTTTCAGATAATTGTGGATATTCTTTTACACTATGCCAAAACTTAACAAATGGTGATTTCTTCATTGCAATTGGGTTATGAAACCTTATCAATAAACGTTCCTATGGTTATGTTAAATTCCATTGGTCTGTCTTGCACTTTGCAAGGATCACTTACCCATGTGTGATTTTGTAACATCATGCTTTGGTCATTTGGACAAAATATTGCTTCAAAATGTTGACGCAGCTCAATGCACAATATTAAACAATTGCATCTGCGAATGTCACCACGAATCACATCAGAAAAGTACTAGGAAGCTATAAAGCTCGAGGTGGATACAAATTTTCAAAAATTCAAATTTTCACTTGAAAGCTCAAATTTTATCATTGACAACAAATGTTCCTAGGTTGCTTACTTTGAGGTGACAGGCTCTTTTCAGTTATTTTTGAAGAAAATACCAGCCAAATAACCCAGTCTGAGTAAATGTAATTTGTCAGTTGTTCTTGCAGGTAAATAGGGTATTCATGAACAAGGAGTGGATAGTTTAGCTTGCAACTCATATGCACGACTGCATTTTCTTGGGACAAGAGCCAAGCTTCAGTATACAGCAGAAGTTCTCCACATGCTCTTTCCATTTTATTGCACAAAAATTAAAATGATGTGTGTTCTGTTAATAAAATTAGTTTGTATTGCTTCATCAAGGACATTCTTTGTTACAGAATATATGCAATTGAAAAAAAAAAAAGGACATTCTTGAGTAAAACTAGTATTTTTTCTTTTCTTTTTATTTTTTTTTCTGCGCATGCATGGTGGCGAAGATGCGGCGACCCTCAGTACAGCTTAGTGCCCCTGCCCGGGTTCGCGCCAGCAGTCTCACCCACCTTCGCTGTTGCTCCATAAGTGCAAATGTCGACACAGTAAAAGAGGCAAACATGCATTAGTAGTATTACAGAAGTAGTTTTGACCTTGAGGATCCCCCTGAAGAGTCTTAGAGATCCCAGGAGTCTGTGGACCTCACTCTCAGAGCTGTTCTAGAAAGGAGAGGTTCGCTGAGACAAAAGGGGCTCTGGGGATGGGTGCGGGGAGCTGGGGGAAATTCGCCTTTCCCTCTCTAATCCAGTGCTTGTGCTGCCAGTTTAGCCTCACCTGTCATAGCCAGGTAAGGAGGGAGCAAGTCTCACTTAAAGCAGAAAGAACCGCTTAGTGCTCTGCATGATGGACGCTCCTGCTCGCAGGGAAGCGGGGTGCTCTCCAACGCCCTCTTCCTGGCCCCCTCCTGTCTTTGCTCCTGTCCACGCTCCGATCCAATGCCAAACCTTTTTAGAAAAAAACAAAACAAAACATATATTTGTCACATTCTAAAAAACTTACAAGAAAAGAGGAAAGGGAAGGGAAATGAGTAACTGGAGGAATCATTTTTCTTAACGTCCTCGAGACTGCGGTCGTGCAGAGATGAGCACGTGCGGCTTGCCTTCCGGCCGTCCCCACGGTGGGGACAAAGTGGGGACTGAATTGCTGCTAGACACCCCCGGCTTCCTTTCCCCACAGGGCTCGAGAACCGCAAACAGCGGACGCTAGTACGCTAGTCACAGGTAATGATTCGGGGCGGCAGGGCCGGCTTGGGGGCCGGAGCAGGAAGACGGGAAACTGGGGCAGGGACTGGGGAGCAAACCGTGCCATCCCCTCGTGGGAAACCTCAGGCACGCTGGCAGGAGAGTTTAGTGTGCTCTGGAGCCAGCCCTTGGGTTATACTCTCACCCGCTCTGGCATGCACTCGTATGTGACCCGGGGCACGCAACGTAATCACTGTCTGCCTCGGTTTCCCTTCCAAAACGTGGGGTCATTGGTGGCTGTGGGTGGATCGATCTGTCGTTGGAGTAAGATTGTGTGACGTCAGCAGCCTGCGGTGGGTGGGGCGCTGAAGGCGTGAGCGAGCACACGGAGGAAGGTGAGCCTAGCCCGGGGCTCCGCAAAGAAAGCGTGTTTCCCCACATCCGTGTCTCCACTGTCGCAAGAAGAAACCCGGGTGCAGGGGTCAGTGGAAAACAAAACTGGTAGCTAACTGCATCGGGACTCAAACCCAGGTCTTCTGTTTCCCGGTGGTGTTCTCTGGCCACCATCATCCTGCCGTGTTTGGCGTAAGCCATTAAAAATGCTACCCCAGCTGGGCGCGGTGGCTCACGCCTGTCATCCTAGCACTCGGGAGGCTGAGGCAGGAGGATTGCTTGAGCCCAAAAGTTTGAGGTTGCTGTGAGCTAGGCTGATGCCATGGCACTCACTCTAGCCTGGGCAACAAAGCGAGACTCTGTCTCAAAAAACTGCTACCCCAAATGCTACTCGGAGTGGGGCTCCCCCAAGCTTCCAGTTCTTCCCTCCACAAAACAGAGTCCGCAGTCCTTGCTCTGAATTTTAAATCATCCGTGAACCTCCCACCCAAAGAACACGCAGTGCTCTAGGCAGCAGCTGGCGGCAGCCAGTGTAGCTTGAGCAGATGCGAGAATCCCACAGTCTGGGCCAGATGTTAATCTGTCTTTTCTGTAGGAGCGAAACAGAAGGGTGAGACCCAAGCCAGCGCAGGGGAAACCCCTTGTTGTGCAATTCTTTTGTAACTCCCGGGCGGAGTCTGAACACGGGCTCTGCTTGAAATCTAGCGTTAGGGGAAAGACCATTTTTCGGTCATCGCAGCTCGTGTGATGACATCTTTGCAACTGGAATCGACATGGCCTTTGTCCCATGTGCTATGAGTAACTGCCCCCTCCCCGCTTTTTGTCATGCCCAGATGGCAAAACAGCCCAGGGTTGCCAAACCTGAGCGGCCGGCTGTCTCCGTGGCTGTGGCCTCATGCTTTCCAGACGCAGAACTGAGGCTCAGCATGCACGGGTGGCTCCGCGTGGCGTGCGGTCAGAAACACGGACCCTGGGCGCCCGTGGCCGGGAGGGAAGCTGGGCTGGTTGGAGGACAGAGTGTGGAAGTGACAGGGGACCATCCATTAATGGAGAATGGAAACTGAGCTGTCAAGCAAAAGTGGTTGTGTGTCCGCCGTTGTGCGCCTCCGCGTAAAGCCCGTGGCGAGATAGACTTTTACAGTCTGCCGGTGAACTCGGCCCCAGTTGGTGCTGGAAGAGGTTTTTTTCATTGCAATGCAAACATGTAATTAGCAATTTTGAAACAGGGCACCCTTTTCAAAGCTCACTTTCATCTGTCACCTCATTTACACCTTGCTGTGACCCTGGGAGGTCGGTTTTATTATTCCCATTTTACACATGTGGAAACTGAGGCTTGGAGAGGTAAAAACCCTACTGTGAAACTGGAGGTGCTTTTCCGGGCCCGTCGGTGGTCCCTGATCCATCGTGCCCCAGCTGCCTCCTCACTGAGGGGCTGGATGTCCCCTCAAGGGCTGTCACCCTCCTCTTGTTTCCTTCTAGCCCTGGTAACTACCACCTTCCCACCCTCTGTGCAAAGCTGCTCTCCCATCATCCCAAGGAATTATTGTATTGTTTCTATTTCTCGGGTCCTCAGCAACCGGAATTATATTTTGGATCAAATTTGCATAACCCTGGGCCCTGCGTCTTCTGAAGCTACCTATGGACCTCACAACAGATCCCAGCCACAGCTCCAGCAGTTCAATTAACTTTCATTCATTCGTTTTTGTATCCGTCCAGCCAGCCGTGCAGTTGTTAGCCGTCAGCCCCTGGGAATCTGCAGGTAATGAGAGCCGGGCCGTGCATGCTTTCTAGAAGCCACTTCCTCATGGAGGAGCCCAAGAAGAGAGAGGCAGTGGCATGTGTGGCCCTCCAGAAAGACAGGCTTGGGGCCCAGCACTTCAACTGTGTCTGTGGCTGGAAGCAAAATAAGCAGTTTCTCTGGTCGGTGCGCATCATAGTTGGCATCACAGCGAGAGGCCGCAAAGAATCAGCCTTCCCTGAGGCTGTCGTAGGTTCGAGGGGTCCACGCAAGTAAGTCAGCCCTGCAGATGGGGTGAAGATGCGTGGAGGTTCCCACAACCCACATGCACATGTACACGTGCA